ATATATATATATATATATCCCCCCAAAAAATTATAATAATTAAGTTAATAATAATTCCTAAGGTTTCATTACATAAAGAAAAACATTTAGAAGTAGAAAGTTGTAGTCCGTTTACACCTTTAGTACCTGAAGTCTATCACTGCCCCTTTTTTTTATACAGTTTTTTATTATACCAATATATTTACAAACAAATATGGCACTTTACAGTAATAGAAAGGTGTTGAGTTCACAAAGAGGCACATTTAAAGAAATAAAAGAATAATTTTAGAACTGTAAATATACAGTCATACATTTATAGTACTATTTTTTATGTAGTTATTACTATTTTCAAGGCTGCACTTTAAAAAATGAAAATGTCTAGAGCTGTTTTAAACTAAATTTCTTATTGTTTACACTCATGTATACAAATGACAAAATAAATCTGTGTAAGTCTATTTAAATATTTAGAATATCAAGTCAACATCGTTTAAACAAAATAAAGTGACTACATGCATAAAAAGGGGCGCAGTATGCTTCAGAATTGTCCATTAGTTGGAAGTTCTATCAGCATTTTATACAGCTTCATATTTTCCAATATTTTTCAGAGACTTCAAATATAAATGGAGTTCTGATTTTTTTAAAAAATTTAAAACTCGGGGGTGATTCTAGTCATCTATTTTGCCTGAAAGTATAAAATTCCAAAACAGCTCTGCTGTTAGTTTTTTTTTTTTTTTTTTAAGCAATACTGCAAATATTATCATATATCTCTGGAAATTGTTTCGGAAAGAATACATTTTGCTTTCATCCATCTTTCTGAGTTATTCCAAAATACTTTAGTTTTGTTGCATTCATAGAAAATATGGTCTGTTGTTTCTATATGTATTGGTTCTATATCAACGTTGAAACTGATTCTTACTAATTATTTGGAGGGGTATATTTAAGATTTTAAGTGTTTCTTCAGCTTTTGATTGTAAGAGAAGTTTCAGACAGAAGCTTCTTAATTGTTGAATCGACTTTTTTTTTGTATATTATGTCGGTTTATCTCATCAGGGGATAAAGGTTCATTTAAATATTTCCTAATTTGAAGGTTGCTTAATTTTTTTTGTCTGTGAGTGAAATCCCATTAACTAATAGGGGTTTATGGGATACTAAGCAATTAGTTGTTGAGTTTGATTAATTAATTGTGTTGGTAATGCTTTAACTAACTAATTACTAAAGGTAATCTAGTAAATTCAGTTTTAGGGGAATAAAAATTATACTTCATGGAAAATTTTTCATAGTTTACCATGTGACTGTTATCATCCATTAAGTGTACAACAGACCAAAAGTTCTTTTACATCCAACATCTATAGAATAGTCATATTTATTGCAATATAGTAGGAATCTGTTATTCCATATAATAGTAGAGTGTGGAGAGTTGTTATGTACATAGAGCATTTACCAGTATAATAATACTTGTTTATCAAACTCGGGTAGTTTAATTGGGAGTTTACGAACATTGAAATCAGCTAGTAGTATAAGTTTTAGAACTCTAATTTTGTTAAAGAGGTAAATGGGGATACAGTAGCAAAATAATTTAGAGTTTTTAATCCAGGATTTTAGCCAATAAATTTTAAGGGTACAATTGGCACTCATACTCTTATTTCCTGCAGACCACAATCTCTGATTTCTTTCACTATGTAATCTTTTCTTAGGTAGTGTGATCTGTTTCTCCAAAAAGAGTTCATGTTCATTTGATGGAAGGTTTTAATCTAGCTATTTGGGACAACAATAATGCAAGTATAATAAATCAATCTTGACAAACACTCCATTTTGGACCTTTCTAATATAGAAAGGTCAAGTTGATGTCATGATCTGGCCTGTTTGCTCTCCCTTAATTAGTAATTCCTCTCACCTGCCCTCTTCCTTCCCTGCCTCAATCATAATTTATTCCTCTCACCTGTTTCCTCTGGTTTATATTCAGTTCAGCCTGAACATTCAGTGCCAGATCATTGCTTGTCTTTTTGTTAGTATGTCCAGTTTTATTTGGTTCATGTCCTGGATCCTAGCCGCCAGTGGATAGAGGGTTTTTGTGTTTGTCTCATCTCCTGATCGTCCACTGTTCCTCCCCCACGGAGTCCTCTGGGTTTTTGGCTCATTATGGGGGGAGGTTCAGTTTTTATCAAAGTTTAAAGTCTGCTTCAAGTTCCGGTTCCTACGTCCTGTCTCGGCTACCCTCTTCCACTGTGCCTGCCTGTCTGCACCTGATCCTGTCTGCTCCTGTGCGTGACCACCTGGTCATGCTTCTGGTCCCAGTCAAACTCTGAACCCTCCTGGAAGCCTGTGGATGCATGGAAGTCTGGATCCTGCCACCTGTCTCTGTTCCTGCCTGATCTGGATCCTGCCACCTGTCTCTGTTCCTGCCTGATCTGGATCCTGCCTGTTTCTGTCTGTTACTGTCTGTTCTGGATCCCTCAGCAGGATCAGTTTCCACCATAACCTCTGGGACTGCAGCACTGGGGACACTCGTGGTCCGGACTGTTAACCAGGTAGGTGACCAACCCAGATAATCAATATCAGTTTATCGCGGTCACTTACCTGTGTTTTCTCCCCTAGAGTGCCTGAGATTGGGCGGTGCCCCGCCCCCCGCCTGCCGTGTCCGCGAGCCACAGCTCCACTTTAGTTTAGTTTTATTTAATTAACGTTTGAACTTTCCTACTGACTGTCTCGCCTTGAATACTGGGTCCATCTGTCCTCGGTTCATGACAGTTGAAGCCATGGATTAAGTTTGGAAATACATTGTTGGTTATGTTTTCAATATTAAAAGTTGAGCCTTGGTTGTTGGTTATAATAGTTCCTAAGTATTTAATTTTAGATCTAAGTGGGATGTTCAATATTTCTTTTTGGGTTGTGTAATGAATGGATAGTACCGGTAGTTAACTTTTTTATTTTTTATTTAGTGAAATCCTGAAGCCTCTGAAAATATATACATTTGATCTATTGCTATAGGAATTTGATGGCTATTTTTCAAGATAAGAGTAGTGTCATCTGCTAACTGGCTAATGATTAATTTTGTAACAAAGAGGTCCGCACAACTTTTTAGGTCGATTGCAAAGATTTCTGCAACTAAAACAAACAGATATAGGGAAATATGACAACCATGGGGAATACCAACATTAATGTTAAATCTAGCTGTTGTATCTTTAGGAATTATTATACAACTGTTGATGTTATGATGTAGACCTCTAATTAAATTGACACATTTTTCTCCAAAGCCTAAATATCTAAGTATAGAAAACAAATAGCTGTGTTCTACAGAATCAAATGCTTTATAATAAAAAAAATAAAAAAATAAAACCAGCATCATTATTTACGTCTCTATATTTGATTAAATTCATTATTACTAATCTATTGTTGTGGATCTATCTTCCTTTAAGAAGCCAGATTGTGATTCTCAAACAATATTTGAGATTCCAGGTTTTTAGTCGCATGGTAAATACAGTATGTAGGTTAGCAATTTATAATCTGAGTTTCTAAGTGTGATAGGTCTTCTATTCTCAATGAGTCTTGGGTCTTTTTCTGGTTTAGGGATTGATATAATAACACCTTGCTTCATTGTAGGAGGTAATCTTAAATTTTAGGAATACATATTTCAATCTGGCTAAAAAAGGACAGACATTTTGGTACTAAAGTTTGGAGGTATATAAGTTGTTATAAAATGTATATATCTCTGTTGCTATTGTTTCCTCAATGTTGGTTTCCATTTCTATTCTATTCTATTTATTTGGTTAATTAACAATGATCTGATAGCATTTTTTGGCTCCTATTTTTTAGATTACAGAAGTAGGCTGTGTTTTTTTTTTTTCACCCTCCTCCATCCATTTGGCTCCAATAGTTGCTTGAGCCTGGACTCCAGTTTTGGGGCTTCAGTTGTAGAGAGGTGATATTATGGTCAAGTAAAGGTGCAACAGAAATGTCAAAGTTGATTTCATTTGTCAATTATTAATTTGCTATAAGCCAATGACTTCTTGATTTTCTATTTGTGCCGAACCATGAAAAATTTATTAAATTTGGCTTAAGGTGATGCCACACATCCGCTAGACTTTGCTCATTATTGAAGTCTTAACAATGCAAAAAAATAAATAGAAATTAACATTAAAATAAATAAAAATACTAAATTATAACTTTGCCCTTTTGTAAATAACATTACAACAAAGTTTCCTGTATTGATCATATTACTCCTTATCAAAAAGCAATCCTTAACTTTATTGTCATAAAAATGTACAGAGCAATGAAATTAACTGTCTGCATTTAACCCATGCACTTGGGGAGCAGTGGGCTGCCATGGTGCAGCACCCAGGGAGCTATGTGGGGTTAAGGGTCTTTGCTAACTGACCCAGAGTGGGAGTCTGTGGGGGTGGGGCTTTAACTCAGAAACTCTGGATTCCAAGCTCTATGCCCTAACCACTAGGCCACCACTCCCCTGAAATACTAAATAAAAATAATATTCCATCTAAATATACCGTATCTATAGTTAGAATATATTAATATAAAACTTTGTGTTTATCATATTGATATTGAATTGCAAAATATATAACTGTATGTATATATTTCATCCAGTTTCAGTTTAAATAGTTTTTAAACTGAATAAATATGTGTAATCTAACTGAACAGTTTTTTTTTAAATTAGTTTTTTTCTTTTAAGGAGTTGTGACATGTGAGAGATTATTGAAATATTATATTTACTTGTCTTCCATGTGATCAAAATGAGATCTAAGGCGCCTCCTATACATTCTGACAGCAGCGGTCTGACCCAAGATGGCTGCCATTGCGCCACTGCCAGCAGCGTTTATAGAGGCTTTAACGTATTGTTTATGTATTGCCCTTTTCTTTTTTTTTTTTATAGGTTTCTTTCTTTTACTCTGTGCCCCAATTAAAAAAAACATGAAAAAACTCAGTGATTCCCTCTAAACAGTAATAAAACCTCTGTGACTAATATGGTATTATATATAATGCTATCCATTCAATCCAGCTAAGACATATTCCCGCATGCAGGAGTCCATTTTTTAAGCTACAGAGGAAATTGAATCCAATGCGTAAATACATGTGCATAGAATATTCTTCACATATGATCTGCTTTTAGAGCTTTGCAGCATATTATAATCATCTAAAATCTAATATTTTCATAACACCAAACCCTTTCCAACTGTGTTTAAAACTTCTGACTCAAACTGTCACTAAGATAAAAGGAAATGGTGGAAAGGTTAAGAAACCATCAGAAACACAGAAGCCATGGAGGCGCTTGGTGTCATTAACTGGAAGGATGTATGGAGCAGTCAGCAGACTGGAATTTGGATCATAAGAGCCCTAACCTTCATCCTATTGGACATACATTTACATAAAAGCTAGCTCAAGAATTTCTTCCCATTAACAGAATATTCATATTTCAAATTGAATTGATATAAAAACATGTACCGAGTGTGTTCGAACTTCTGAGGACATTGTAGGTAACTCGGCCGTTAAAAAGCACTTAATCACAAGGCGCAACACACAGATCATAGCATAGGACCTAAATCAAAATCAAACAATAGCATTCAGAATTGCAAAAGTCACTTCAAGTTAAACTGCAATGATTAAAAGAAAAGTCAATCACGCCTCCAGTTCTTTATTTAAAGTTCCTCATTTACAGGAATATTGACAGGATTTGTAACTGCAGCTAAAATGCTCCAAGATGAAAAACTCACCCAGTTTAATACTTTACCAGTGAATTACAAAGAGTAGTATGCAACTTCTAACGAGCAAAATGATATTTATTTTGGTTAAGATGCTGCCGTGCAAGTTAACGGCACACACCTGACCTGAGGCAACATCTGCTGCCCTTAAACGTTTAACTGAGATGGTAGGAGAAAGATGATATTCTGATTATTTCATATTAAAACAGGCCATAATGTGAACATCCAGAAATATCCCCCAAAAAAAAAAAAAAACAAAACATGAGCATTTGCATAATTCTGTCTAACCTCTCCTTTTTGTTGAGACAGCTGTAAGAAGACGAAGTATAAAACTTTATCAACAGTTCTTTTTTTTTTTTTTTTGGCTTATGTACTCCTCACCAAAATAAGCATGCTTCAAATTGACTCAGAGCAGGTCTCTTCTAACTACTTACAGTATAAAAACAAATTAGAAAAACTAGATCCAAAGACAGCATTCTCAAATCAACTCAGAACAATTGAAGGAAGTACTCGAGTAAAACACAAACATTTATTACGACCGCAAGACTCAAAAAAATAGAAAAATGAACTGATGTGACGGGAGGATGAATTGAGATCAACCAGGTGTGATTGTCCACCATTATTTTACAGTAGAGGTGCAGAGGAACTGGTGAATGAATCAGTCTGCCAGGCGCACGACCACAGAGGACATGTGGAATCAGACGGATATTACAAGGAGTGAATGTTTCCTCTTGAATTTTCTATTACTGCAATCCATAGAGACGCATCAAGTTCCCTTTACTGCTGGAGACCTTAGGACTGCTTCACTTTGTTCCTTTCCTGGTCGTTGATTTGCAGCTCCTCCCTGGTGTCTTCTCGCTCAGGCCGATCGTCGCTCTGCCGGGCGATGAGCAGTCGGCAGGTGAGCAGGATGCCAAAGACTAGAGCATGGGCGTAGCGCTTCAGGGGGTCCCCTACTAGCTGGTGGAAGAACAGCACAGCTAGCATGACTAACAGCAGCAAGAAGTTGGCCACGTCCTTCGGCCGGCCGGGGACCAGGGTCAGCACCACTCCACAGCCCACCTCCAGGGAGCCGATGATTTTGCGAAGCAGCACGGAGCTGATGCCGATCTTTTTCAGACCTGGCAGGGCCTTGGCATAGCTCTTGTATGCTCTTTTCTAAAACAAAAAAAAAAGAGAGACAGAAAAAGGGTTAGACCATATTTATAACATTTATGGATTCATTAACGTCAAAACTCCCGTCATCTTTGTGTACAATAAAAATATATACCATATTTTCAGGACTATGGAGTGCACCTCACTATGGAAACGTACATATATAAGCCACTGATATCTATGGAACTGTCTCCCACCAAACCTCTAGGGGGAGCTCTACGTATAGCCCCTGGAGTAGGGAGGAAGTAGAAGCCTGCGCGGGACAGATTTTCCA